GTGTGCTATAGTGTTCTGGACCCAAAACAGCCACTGTCAGAAAAAACAGGATATATCAAAAATGAAGATTAACCAACATACTATTATCAATGAAAGAGAGATAGCAGATCATATTAACAAATACTTTGCGGGGGTGGGTGAAAGCTTGGCAAATAATATTCAAGACATCCCTTTAGACATGAATATGGAAAAGTCCAGTGACAATAAAATAAAGTTCTGTCCAACAACGCCTGAAGAGGTCGGAAAAATAATTAGTGCTCTAGACTCAAACAAGGCTACAGGATCCGACCAAATTGACAGTAAATCAATAAAAAAATGTGAACATGTCTTAAAAAATATTTTATGCAAACTCAATAATCAATCATTTTCATGTGGAAAAGTGCCGGACAAAATGAAAAGTGCTAGAGTGATCCCCTTATATAAATCTGGAAGCAAAGAAGACGTCAACAATTATAGACCGATATCGGTGCTTCCTGTTATGTCAAAAATCTTTGAAAGAGTGGCTAATGATAGACTTGTTAAGTATTAAGAAAGCATTGATTTTCTATCAAATTGTCAATATGGCTTTTGCAGATCCAGTGACACTGCTTCTGCAGCTGTAGACCTAATATCTGAAATCCAAATAAAAATCGATCAAGGAATAAAATGCGCGGTAGTGTCCCTGGATTTGCAAAAGGCATTTGACACGATTAAATACGATATCTTATTAATAAAATCAAATTGTATTGGTATAAACGACACGAAAGGCGATTGGTTTGCAGATTATCTGTCCCATAGAGAACAATTTGTCCAATTGAGGAATACAAAAAGTAGTATGGCAAAGATCACTTATGGAGTCCCTCAGGGCTCCATACTTGGTCCTACAATCTTTTTGACTTACATAAATTCAATGTTAAGTTTAAATTTATACGGACGTATAATTTTATACGCGGACGACACCTCATTGGTGTACTTTGATTCCTCAGTCGACAATATTAGAAGATTTATTGCCCATGTCAGTAAGTCTTCTTTTATGTGGATCAAACGATCAAATAATATAATCTATGACAGCAGACCAATCGCGTTCAGTGGAAAACTATTAAATATAAGAAATGAAATAACATTTTTAGGATTAATTATAGACGAAAAACTTTTATGGTTGAACCACATAAGTCACATTAGAAAAAAATTGTTGGGTCCTGTGGGCATTTTGAAAAGACTGAGCTGAGCTGAGCTGAGCTGACCTAGTGAGTACCTGAGGCCTGTCTATTTTTCCCTAATCCATTTTCATTTACAATATCTAAATATAATCTGGTCATCGACTTCCAAAAGGAATATAAAAATTATAAAAACCTTACAAAATAAGGCTTTAAAAATCTTATATTCCTTGGATGCTCGACACCCAACAAATGAGTTATATAATAATTTTAAAATTATGTCATTAAACAATATTTACAAATATCAAGTAAACTCCTTTATACATCAGGTAATTACAAAAAACCGTCATTTACATATTAACTATACCATTCGTTATACTAATACAAGAAACAGGGGAAAGATAGACATGCCTTAGTGCAGATCCCGGTATGGCATGGAATCGGTTCTTTATAAGGGCGTAAAGAGTTACAACCTTCTCCCGGAAGAAATAAAAGACCGTCGGGGAGATGATTTTAACACATTACTAAAAAGGCATTTAGGGTATATTTAATCTACTGTCTACTGTTTTGTTACTTTGAAATCATTACTCTAAACATTAACTTAAGTAAAAAACTAAAAAAAAAGTGATTAAATGCAATGTGATAAAATATTTGTGATCTTTTATATTGTGTATTTGATTATATTGTGTATGTGATTGTATGAGTATTATATTATATTGTTTTACTATTGTATTATAATGTATATGTATAAGAGGATATCCCTATGTAGAACTTATCTTTTGGGATGAAATAAACGATTTTTGATTGATTTTTTTTTTAATTCATTATTTTTTATTAATTTTGATATATCTGGAGCAGTAAATATACCTGAAACATACAATGTTGTTACTAAAAAATAAATCTAAAATTATATTGAAATGTACCTGCTTTAATTTTTTCTGTAGGCAATTTTAGAAAAATTATATGTAAAAATTTAAAAGCTTCACCGGACGAATCCAGTGCTCGAACAAAGTTGCGAATCAGGCCAAGTTTAATGTGAAGTGGTGGAAAGATTACTTTTCTTGCATCCACCAACGGTTTCCAATGCTTAACTGACCTAATTGACAGTTAATGCGTGGCTCCAATGTAAAATCAGTATAATGCAGCTCGGTCTTACGGCCTTCCCAAGTGCACAAGAAACATTGGTGTTTACAATATCCTTTTTTTAAACCACACTCAGAGAAATATCATGTCATGAAAAGCATATGAAATGATATTAATTTAAATAATCGGGTAAATTTGATTCAAATAGAAAAAAAATGTAGTTTTATATTCATTTACCAACAGTTTTACAATGTTTTTAAACACTTTTAAAGTGTACTCTTTTTAAAATATATATACAAAAAGAAATCTATTTATTTCATGCCTTTCTCAACGTTATTTTAAAATATATGTATTATACAATTGTTATACACCTTTTAATTTAATGAGAAACACCAATGACGCCAAAACATATTTGAATCCCTTTGAATTATTAGGGATTCAAATATGTTTTGGCGTCATTGGTGTTTCCCATTAAATTAATAGGTGCATAACAATTGTATAATACATATCTTTTTGAAACAACTTTGAGAAAGGCAATGAAATAAATGGATTTCTTTTTGTATATATATTTTAAAGAGGGTACACTTTAAAAGTGTTTCAAAACATTGTAAAACTGTTGGTAAATGAATGTAAAACAAAATTTTTTTCTATTTGAATCAAATTTACCCGATTATTTAAATTAATATAATTTCATATGCTTTTCATAACTTGATATTTCTCTGAGTGCAGTCAGCAATCCCACAACTTTCAGATCGCAACAAATTTTCCATTCGTGCTGATTGTAGTGTGTCAGCTCTAGAATTAGCTTCATATTGTCATAATTTTCAGGCATATTTGTGGCATAGGCAATTGGAACAGATGGATACTTGTTTCCAATATGAAGTAAAACTACTTTTAAGCTATTCACAGAGGAATCAATGAAGAGTCGCCATTCTTCTGAAATATGAGGATGACCAATTTCTTCGAATAATGCATCGACGTCTTCACAATAAGCCAGGTTCTTTTCAGAATCCTCATGTGAAGCAAAATATTTGTCAAACGACATGCAAATATTTCGTTTTCGGTTTGCCGTTATTTTAAAGTCATCGGCAACTAAATTCCATTGTCGGAGCCGTGATGCAACCAATTCCGCTGTAGTTTTTGATAAATTGGCATCACGAACAAGATCATTGAAATCAGCCTGGGTTATAAAATGTACTTTATAACCCGAACTACAGGGAATAAATTCAGATTTCATCTCGGAAAAAATGGTAGTACTGGGTGTTAAAGGTCTTTTACTTTTATCCTCACATATGTTTTCTGAAGGAGCAGTTGGATAATCTTCAGATCGCACTCTTGCGAGAATGACGGATTCTACATAGGCGTAATCAATTTTCTCTCTAGTATTGTACCGAAATCCAAAACTTTTTAATTTTGACATGCAGAAATAACACTGGTCAGATGCGTGTTCGGTACGTCGAAGCCAAATTGTTGGTGCAACATATTTCATACTGTGTGTTTTATCTTGCAATCCATGCAAACAACGGTAACAATAATCGCATAAAACCTCTGGTACATACCATAAGTTTGGTATATGGGTAATTCTTTTACAAACCGTACGGATTTTGATAAAAATTGACCGACACATCTCCGATTTGGCTGAAACTTTTTTTACGGATTCTATATCGAAAAATAAGAGACACGTGTCCAAGGAATTTTTTTTCTTTCGCATATTTTCGATAATACAAGTGATCAAAAATTTGAGAAAAACAAGCTTTTTGGTTTGGAGACCCATTTTCAAAAATTTATAACTCCGGTTCTATTTGAGCTACAAACATCTTTTTTTTTTCATTTTAAAGCTTAAGGATTGAATTTTGATAACAAAATATTTTTAATAAAAATTATTAACAAATTCATATTGTTATTAACAATTTCATTGTTTAAATCAATTTTTAACAATGGCCCCCACCTCGTACTAAGTTTTTAGTATTTTTATCGTATTCTCCGTCAAATTTTACATTAAAAACATGTTTTCAAAATATGGTACCTTTATTATTAGTATTGTTAAAACATTAATTCATATTGCGCGACACATAAAAAAACGGTATTTTGTTAATAAAAAGATAATAAATAGATCTACAATTTTTGTTTTTACTACTTTTCGACATAATCTCAAACTTTTCGAATAAAATGCAAAAATGTTAAAAATCACGGATAAAGCTATGGATCTCTTACTACGTGTCGATTCCCTCTCTCCAGCTCGTGACGTTAGTAAGAGGTGGGAATGCGGCCGGGCAGCAAATCAGTCTTAAAATTTTCAAGTTACTTCAAGATGGACTGATTTGCTGCCCGACCGCATTCCCACCTCTTACTGACGACACGAGCGGGGGAAAGGGAATCGACACGGTTTCAAATATCCGATCAGTTGTGCACTGGCTTTTGTTGGCTACCGGCATTTTGTATCTATTCTCTCGTTAAAGCCTTTATAGAGTTATTTACCTTCGCCGTGCGCGCAAATTGTACTTCCTGTCGCGTGCGCATCTCGAAGATCAAAAAAGAAAATGAAGAAAACGTTCAAATTGAATTGGTACGTATTATAATTCTTTGCATATCATATTAAGAGAATTCAGAGATACCTAACCTTCTTTTCTGGTAAATGAGTTAGGCTACACAGTGCATCGTAGCCAGTAGCAGCGTTCTGCTTCTCAATTCTCTGAGCCAGTGGACTTCTTTAACTCTATTTAGTTTATAATTTTTATATGAGCCGTAGATATTTATAAGATTAATTTTTATTTTTCACAGCCGGAAAACAAAGAAGTCTCGTCGAATGAAGAATCAGATGCAAAAATTGGTAGTAGTGAAGAGACTTCAGGATTCTCTGGTGAAAATTCACCGTTGGTGAAGGAACGTGTCGAGCATCTCAATCCTTTGTTGAGATTAATAGGATCTTCACCAATTAAAAAAGCAAACTGTCACAAAAAAAGTATTCCGAAGAGAAATCTGAAAATATTGCTTTAGAAATTAAAAAAAAAATTTTTGATTTGAAAGAAGATGGTCCGGATGACCTCGATGATGACGACGATACCTCAATTTTAAAAACGTTACAAGAAAGTTTTAATTCTACTGCAGACCGAACTCATAAAATTAAAATATTGACAATTTTCAGACATTGGTCTTATCAAAAAAATGAAGGAAAATTCCCTACTGCAACTCGTCATATGATAAGTGTAGCAAAAAGTATTGCTAAACATAAAGGCATATTGAGCGATCCTAGTCCCAAACGTCATCCATCTCTAGCAGTAGACGCTGTAAATACTATAGTTAGCTTCTTCCAGTCTGATGATCATACTCAATTGATGCCAGGCCGAAAAGATTATGTATCAGTTAAAGTAAATGATCAAAAAGTACAAATGCAGAAGCGACTACTTTTAAATAATTTAAAAGAATTATATGAAATGTTCACAAACACTTTTCCAGAAATAAAATGTAGTTTTTCTAAATTCGCTAGCCTACGACCAAAATACTGTGTGCTAGCAGGAGCTTCTGGCACTCATTCAGTGTGTGTTTGCCCTATCCATGAAAATGTTAAATTATTAATAGATGGTGCAAATTTAAAATCAATCACAACCGATTCTCAACGACCTTTAAAAAATTATAAGGATTGTTTGGATCGTATGGTGTGCCATGAAAAATCTACCAAGTGTTTTTTGAGTCTATGCGACCGGTGTCCAGGTGTAACGAATATTATTGAGCAATTGGAAAAAAAATTTGAAGAAAAATATGTCGAAAGCATCACCTACAAGCAGTGGGTTACAACTGAAAGAACTTCATTACAAACTCTAATATCGTCTGTAGATGAATTTTTGGAATTTTTAAGTAACGGTTTATGCAAATTATTAGTACACTCTTTTTTGGTAAATAAACAAAGGGATTTTTTAAATGAAAAAAAAAGTGATATAATGAAAAATGAGTGCATCGTAATTTGTGATTTCTCGGAAAATTATGCCTTTGTTATTCAAAATTCTGTTCAAGGTATACACTGGAATAATGATCAGGCTACAATACACCCATTTTCGATTTACTATAAAGATGACCAAAATGAATTAAAAATAAAAAATTTTGTTTGCATTTCTGAATGTTTACATCACGATACTGTTGCTGTTCACCTCTTTCAAAGACATCTGGTAAAATTTATAAAAGTAAACTTGTCGGAGATAAATAAAATAATATATTTTTCGGACGGTGCAAGTGGACAGTATAAAAATAAAAAAAACTTTATAAATTTAACTAATCATCTGGAAGACTTTCAAATGGCTGCAGAGTGGCACTTTTTCCCGACCTCTCACGGGAAGGGACCCTGTGATGGGATCGGTGGAACTTTAAAACGACTTGCTGCCAGAGCGAGTCTTCAAAGAGTAAATGATCCTATTCGGACACCAAGAGAACTATTTAATTGGGCAACAGAATCACTCTCAAATATAACTTGTCAATATTCTACAAATGATGAGTACGAAGAAGAAAAAAATATATTATCAGAGCGTTTTACAAAAGCTGTTACGATAAAAGGAACTTTAAAGTACCACTGTATGATTCCAATATCTCATCAGGAATTGGAAGCAAAGATATTTTCACTGTATGATAAAAAAACTGTTGTAAAAATCTTGAAGTGAAAAAATATATGTAGTTTAATTTTGAATAAATCTTAGTTTTATGATACACAATTTTAATTTTACAAACGAAATACATATTTCCCAATAATAAGTATTGAAACCATAATAAAAAAAAATATCTGATAAAATATTGTTCTATAATTTATAATTGTTTTATGTTTTTTTATGGTATTGATTGCTAATAAATTTAAAAGAGGTGATTTTTAACATTTTTTCAATTTATTTGAAAACTGAGGTTATGTCGAAAAATAGTTAAAATAAAAATTGTAGGTCTTTTTATTATCTACAACTTTTATATTTGACTTTTTTTGATCCGAGCTATAGTTTTCTTTTTATTAACAAAAAACCGATTTTTTATGTGTCGCGCAATATGAATATTACCATATACCATATTTTGAAAACATGTTTTTAATGTAAAATTTGACGGAGAATACGATAAAAATACTAAAAACTTAATACGAGGTGGGGGCCATTGTTAAAAATTGATTTAAACAATGAAATTGTTAATAACAATATGAATTTGTTAATAATATTTATTAATAATATTTTTTTTATCAAAATTCAGTCCTTTAGCTTTAAAATAAAAAAAGAAGTTTGTAGCTTAAATAGAACCAGAGTTATAAATTTTTGAAAATGAGTCTCCAAGTCAAAAAACTCGTTATTCTCAAATTTTCGATAGCTTGTATTATTGAAAATATGCGAGAGAAAAAAAATTCCTCGGACACGTATCTCTTATTTTTCGACATAGAATTCGTAAAAAAAGTTTCAGCCAAATCTGAGATGTGTCGGTCAAAAGGTGTTCGGTTTGTAAAAGAATTACCCATATACGTCACCAAAAAATAGTCTTCAAAAGCTGTTACTACACTTTTTTAATATTTCGCATATGGCTTGGAGGTGCAAATAAACCACATACATAACAAAAATTATTTCGATTCGGGCACTGCATTTTTACTTTGATTTCAAATGGATGGTTAACTCAACAATCAAAATTAATATGAAAAATTTATCGATTTATCGCTGCAATATTGTTTTTATTTAACATTTAAAAAAAAGTATTTAAGTATAGTCTATGCGAAGTCACTTGAAACAGTACGAAATATAGGGTGCAATCAATTAAGTGCATGGCGCATTAATATAGTACATTAAAACAATGAAATAAATGTTGACCGACCCTCGTATAAAGATTGAAAACAATGCTTTTTATGTATAAATGCCGCAGATGTGTAAATTTTTTGTTTTTTTGCTGTTTCAATTGACTTCGTATACTTAAATACTTTTTTTACTTAAATTAAATATGTTTTAGGTACACTTGCTTTAAGACTTAAATCAATTCATTTAAATATCTTTTAATTTTTAGTATTAAAAATTTTAATTTAACAAAGCTCAATTTTTACAAAAAATTGAATAAATAAAAATTTTTTCTATTACCTTACTAGAAAACTTAATTTTCCACCCCCGAGGGAGGAAAATGCCTCTTTTCCTCCCCGGGAGGAAAAAAAATTTCCTCCCTCTCTTTTTTTAACAATTTTACATAAGCAAGAGTTTTTGTACCTTGTCTATCCCTATTTGATTTTGTATTTTCATATCGCTCTTTCGATTTTTAAGGAAATATTCTTGCCTTTTTAGCAAGATCTTGCGGCAGGTCTTCTTCGCTAGAACTCATTTACAAAACGCAGGAAGAATTTCAAATTTATGATAAACATTCTGACAGATTATAAAAACTGTTATGTTTGTATTTCCAAAAATACCATAGCAACAAAGCGTTGTCAACATAACGTCGTCAACGCAACAATTGTTAACTACTTAATATTTTGTCATAATTTTATAGCCCCATACCGGGTTAGTAAAAGAAACCGGAACGCTTAAAATGTCTTAAAACCGTTAAAAGGTAATAGAAAAAACTATATACATACCTCAGGAGGAAAATGCGTTTCCTCCCTTGAATATTTAACTATTCGCGGGAGGAAAAGCACTATTTTCCTCCCATTGTATGTAAATAGCACAGTTAGTATATGTCGGTAGTTTAAAACAAAAAATATACATTTTTTGAGTCATACCTGTATTGTAAGCTTATGATATAGGCTACCAATATCTATCAAAACTAAAATCATCTACGTACGTCCTGACGAGAAATTCATTAAAAACGTTTTTTTCTGTTGGTAATATAAAATACCACTGTACGGTGATTATATTCCAGGTTGTGGTAGTATATTATCAAGAATATAATGGAAAAAAATTGTTTATTTTAGTAAAAAATATTTCTTTGATTTTTAGATATAATTGGATATTTATAATTAAATTTGTTTTATTATCCATACAATCTTACACATAAAGAGAAAAAAAATCAGATTGGCTGTGTCTGAAACGTCGCGTTACGTCGTCCAGTCAGTGCAAATTAAGATTTGTTTAAAATGCCGAATTGTGTAAAAAGTCACGAATTAGCTCGATCAACGGTATGTTACGCGTGTTTTAACAAGGCAGTTGATGGCCGACGTATAATTGGGAAAATCGAAAATCTGGTAAAATTACTTTCACCTAATTACGATTAAAACGACACAAGCATTCCAACAGTCCTCTGTAAAGGCTGTTACATCAAAATATACAATAAGACTCTAACAAGAATTACAGATTACTCAAAAATGAAAATTCTTCCTACACGTGACACGGATACATTTTGTGCGTGTAAAATATGTAAAGTTGCACGTTTCAGAACTATACCCAACGTCAATAATTTTTCATTTGATTATGCAATCAAAAAGAATATTGTGGGTAGACCTCCAAAAACCAGCTCAGTGCAGGCAAGTACACTAAAAATATGCATCTCCTGTAATAGTGAAATCCATAAGGGAAAACGTCACGCATGTACTACAACTTCCAAAGTGCAAAACATCGCACAAAACTGTAGACAACAAGTTGCAAGCCAGATTTTATTAGAGGAAAAGGAAAATCAGGGTAATTCTCTTTTACTAAATAAAGGCAGGGGTAGGTATTTGCCTGTAGAAGTGATACCGAAAAGCGATTCCAAAAATTCGATAACTCCTTTGACTACAAATCATTTTAAAGAAATGCAAGTGGACTGCAATTTATCCACTAATACAGTAATAAAAATTAGAAGTGCCTTCGCAAATGTAAATAAAAACTTAGTAGAACCTGTAATATATAATGTATGTAACAATCTGTATATATAATATTAGGTAGGTACACACTGTATGTTAAAGGTGTGCTCTTTTTATGTAGGTATAAACATTATTAATAAAGTTTTAGTTTAAAGCCAACAGTCGTTTCACTAACATACATTACATGGCGCTGTGACAAATTAATAAATTAAAAATAAATTAAGAAGAAGTGAAAATGGCAAATATGAAGATTGATTATAGAGGTATAGCACCTATGGACATTTCTGGAAATATTGCAGAAAATTGGAGGTTTTGGATTCAAAAATTTAAGAATTACCTAAAAGCGACGGAAGTGTGCAAAAAACCTGAAGAACTTCAATGTGCTCAGCTATTACAATATATAGGCGACGAGGGTTTTAAAATATTCAATACCTTTACGTTTGCTGAAAGCGAAGAGAACAAACTGGAGATATTAATTAAAAAATTTGAAGAGTATTTTCTACCGAAGAAAAATATAGTTTATGAACGCCATAAATTTTTAATGAGAAGACAGCTTCATGGAGAGTCTATTCAGCATTATGTTACGGATCTGAAAAATATGGCTAAAAATTGTGAGTTTTCCACCCTAGAAGACAGTCTTATAACAAGCGTTCTAATTATGGGTCTACAAAGTGAACAAATAAGAGAAAGATTATTGGAAGACGACAAATTAAATTTAACGAAAGCGATAACAATGTGTTTGGCAGTTGAAGAATCAAAAAAATGTGGACAAGAAATGGCTGAAAAAAGTGAGCGAGTAAGTGTAAACACGGTAGTGCGAAACAAATTCGTTCCCCACAAGGTGCGAGATTCAAACCAGAGAGCAGCGTTGCCAGCTCGTCATCACCGAGGTCCCAATCACCAACCATCAACGTCAACGTGTCAACGTTGCGGCAAAAGGCATGCATATGGAAAGTGTCCTGCGTACGGGAAAGTTTGCAGTGGCTGTGGCGGTAAAAACCATTTTAAACAAAATTGTATGTTTAATAGGAGGAAAATTCATTCGGTACAAGATAGCAAGGTAATTTCTGAGGATAATTTTAATTTTGAAAATCTCTCAATAGACACAGTAAATTGTAACAATGCTAAACAGTGGTATGTTGATTTATTAGTAAACAATTCAAAACTTATTAAATTTAAATTAGATAGCGGGGCCATGGCAAATGTTTTAAGTTTAAAATTAATACAAACACTGAACATTAATTATTTAAATACTACGAATAAAAAATTAAGCAATTACTCAAATGAGATAATACCTGTTTCAGGTGAATGCGAATTAGACGTAAAATATAAAAATAAAAATTATAAATTAAATTTCGTTATAGTTAATATTGATTCTCCACCCATTTTAGGCTTAGACTCGTGTATTAATTTAAATATTTTGCAAAGAATTGATAATATTAGTAATTTAAATATGTTTATTGAAAAATATAAAAATGTATTTCAAGGCATAGGTCAATTAAAAGATCCTTATCAAATAAAACTAAAAGATAACTACTCTCCAGTAATTCATGCGGCAAGAAAAATACCATTTCCATTATTTGATAGTTTTAAAAAATGTTTGGGGGACATGGAAAGAAATAATATTATTTCTAAGGTTGATTATCCCACAGAGTGGGTAAATTCAATAGTTATAGTAAGAAAAGCTGATAGTTCACTGAGAATCTGTTTAGATCCTCGTGATTTAAATAAAAACATACTAAGGGAACATTTTAAATTACCAACTTTTGATGAAATTTGCTTTAGATTAAAAGATTCGTGTTATTTTAGTACTCTTGATGCCACCTCTGGATTTTGGCAAGTAAAATTAGATGAGTCAAGTTCGAATTTATGTACTTTTGCTACCCCATTTGGTCGCTATAAATTTTTGCGTTTGCCGTTTGGTATTAATTGTGCGCCCGAAGTTTTTCATAAAAAATTTAAAGAAATATTCAATATACAGGGTGTTGAAATATATATTGATGATATCTTGGTACATGGTAAAAATAGGGAAGAACACGATAAAGTTTTAAATAAAGTACTGGAAATTGCAAATTTAAATAATATCAAATTTAATGAGAAAAAGTGTAAATTTGGTTTACCCGAAATTAAGTATATGGGACATATAATATCAAAAAATGGCATACAACCCGATAATTCAAAAATAAAAGCAATAACCGAAATGCCAGTTCCAAAAAATAAAGCGGATTTGCAACGGTTTTTAGGAATGATTACATATGTTGGTAAATTCATTGAAAATTTATCAGACGTTACTGCGCCGCTAAGGGAATTATTAAAAAATAAAGTTTCTTGGGAATGGAATAGTAATCATGAAAATTCATTTAACAAATTAAAAACAATAATAACAAATCAACCCGTGTTACAGTTTTACGATTCTAAAAAGGAGATAGTGATTTCTGCGGATAGTAGTAAGGATGGCGTTGGGTGCTGTCTTTTCATTAAAAATTTACCGTGCATGTATGCATCAAAAGCCCTAACAGAATGTCAAAAGAAATATGCACAAATTGAAAAAGAGCTTTATGCTTTAGTGTTTGCTTGTGAAAGATTCCACCAGTATATTTATGGTAAACCAAAAATAACCATGGAGACTGATCATAAACCTTTAGTACAAATATTTAATAAACCATTGCATGATTGTCCTCCGCGTCTACAACGAATGTTTATTAGGTTGCAAAAATATGACATAAATTTGGTGTATAAATCAGGTAAGGAACTTTATATTGCGGATACGTTATCACGTGCATATTTAAAGGAGAGCGAATATTCAGAGTTAGATACGGAAATTAGTAGTCAGATTTGTTTACTTAGACTTAATCTCAATGCATCAGATGAAAAAATTAAAGAAATACAAAATTATACAAAAAATGACAATGAATTAAATTTATTAAAAAATTATATATTAAACGGTTGGCCAAACTCAATTAAACAAGTCGATCCCATAGTTAGGGTGTATTTTAAATATAGGTTTTCTCTAAGCGAAGCTGATGGCTTATTATATAAAGAAAATAAATTAATTGTACCGGTAAAGATAAGAAAAGAAATGCTTGATAAAATTCATTATAGTCATATGGGTATTATAAAATGTAAAAATCGGGCTAGACAATGTTTATTCTGGCCAAGTATGTCGAAACATATAGAGGATTTTATAAGTAAATGTGAAATTTGCAAAATATATCAAAATAATAAAGTTAAGGAACCTATGTTACCACATATTTTACCAAAAAAGCCATGGGAAAAGGTTGGATGCGATCTTTTTTATTGTTTTGGTGATAATTATCTAATTGTTGTTGATTATTTTTCAAAATATATTGAACTAGCGAAACTGTCTTGCAATAGTACAGCTAACCAGGTAATTTCTCATTTAAAAACAATTTTTTCACGTCATGGTATACCCCGAATTTTGGTGAGTGACAATGGTCCTCAGTTTTCCAGTTTTGAATTTAAAACATTTGCAACAAAATGGCAATTTCAACATATAACAACTAGCCCTTATTATAGTCAATCTAATGGTATGGTTGAAAGACATATTCAAAGTATAAAAAAAATAATAACTAAAACAAAACATGACAATAAGGACATTGATTTGGCATTATTACAGTTTAGAAATACACCTTTGGATGCAAATTTAAAATCTCCTGCAGAAATTCTTATGAGTAGAAAATTAAAAGAAATTTTACCTGTAGAAAATAACTTATTGAAAACTGCAAAAAGCAATAATTATAAAATTAATAAACAATTGTGTATTAAACAAAATAAACAGAAACAATATTATGATTTAAAAGCTAAGTCAAGTAACTACAAAAATTTTAGAAATAATCAAAAAGTTTATTTTAAAAGAAATTTAAAGAATAAAAGTTGGGAAAAAGGTGTTATAAAATCTGTAAATAAAAGTAGACCGAGATCATACAATGTTCAGCTAAACAATGGTAATATTTTAGAACGAAATAGACAATTTATTAGTTTGGCAGAAGATTGTGATGATCAAGGTGATAATCAAGTTAATAATTACATAACTCGATTTGGAAGGGAGGTAAGAGCCCCAGATAGGTTAGGATATTAAAGTAAAAATAATTAGTTAGTTTATAAAATGTTTTATTTAAACAATTTTGGTTTCTATATGTACATATATAATTATGGGTTAAAAAAAAAAAAAAAATATATATATAAAATAAAAACAAATTAAAATAAACATATCTAAGTCGGATTAGTTAGTTAGTTATTTGACGAGTGAATTCTTATGTTTATATAAAAATATTATTATTATTAAAAAAGAAAATTATGCTTACCTGGAATTGGATTTTAGGATATTTTAAGTCTTTATTTGTTATAGAAAAAAAGGGATGTAATATATAATGTATGTAACAATCTGTATATATAATATTAGGTAGGTACACACTGTATGTTAAAGGTGTGCTCTTTTTATGTAGGTATAAACATTATTAATAAAGTTTTAGTTTAAAGCCAACAGTCGTTTCACTAACATACATTACAGAACCCAACATAATAAGTAACATAAAAACCATGCATTGGATAGCTATTTTACTATAGCTGAGTTGCCGAACATTGACTGTCCCAAAACTGCCGATATTCCGTTTTTGGTGTACTGCTCGGATATTTCTGGTCTCTTAGCACATATTTTAAATATACGAGATTTAAATGACGACTTCCATGTAAAAATTGGGATCGACAGCGGTGGCGGATCATTGAAAGTTTGTTTGACTGTGATGCCAGAAAATGATCCAGAATATCTGGTAAATTACAAAAGCGCAGGCATTAAGAAGCTGCTAATCATTGGTCTAGGACCCCAATTTACAGAATCCTATGAGAATGTCAAAATATAGCTGGAAACACTAGATTTAAATTCAATTTGTGGAGTATGTTCCTACACTTTTGCTGCCGATCTGAAACTTTTGATGATACTTTTGGGACTCCAGTCAAACTCCTCAGCTCATCCATGCCCATGGTGTGAAATAAATGCAAAAGATTTAAAAGAAAAAGGACTTTCAAGAACAATAAGCTCTATAACCAAGCAGTCAACAGCTTGGAAAGCTAATGGGAAAATGAAAATGAAAGCTAAATTTTACAGTTAGTTTTTTATTATTTTTTTTTCTGTCAATTTCCCTATTAAATTTTATTACTAGCTACAACTATGTGAATACTTTTTAGAAAACTGTGTTTATATTCCACTCATTATTGGTGATGAAGAGACGCCAGTTTTACGATACCTCCCACCGCCAGAGCTACATTTATTACTGGGCATAGTACAGAAGCTCTACGATTCCTTAAAATATGAGTTTCCTGAGGTTGCTTCAGAATGGGTACGACAAGCATCCATAGATTTCGACCATTTTGGAAAATTCAATGGGAATAATTCTCGGAACCTTTTGAAAAAAGTTGATATTTTAGAAATAGTTTCGCCAGGTATACATGAAATAATAAATATTCTGATACCTATAGGCCTACTTATCTACCTACATATGCGCCTGATCTACAAGTTCATGTTTGTATTTCCATTTTTAATTTTAGGTAACAAGTACATAGCTGCATTCAAATCATTTAATGCAGTTGTAAGTAGCTGTTTCGGGCAGATACTCAGATCCGAATATCAGGAACACATAAGAGATTTTGAGAAAGCTTTGAATACGGCAGGTATATCTTTCACCCCAAAAATACATGCATTGGTACACCATGTACCAGAGCACATTGGAGCTACTCAAAGATCTCTCGGTTTTTATTCAGAGCAAGCCTCTGAACAGGTTCATCACCCTTTCAAAGTTTTTTCAAAAAAATTTAATTTAAGTAATAAGTCAAAAAATTACAAAAGTAACTTATTAAGATGTGTTTCTTACTTCAATTCTACTCATATTTAAGATAATTCATTATGTTAAGAATATAGCAAAATTGTTTATTATTCATTTATAAACTATAGATCTGTTTTTTGTTGTAAAATTAAATTAAGTTGAGTTGTTTTAAATATTAGCGAAAAATTAGTCACCGCATTTTATATTAACAACAGGAAAAATCGTTTTTAATGAAATTCTCGTCAGGACGTACGTAGATGATTTCAATTTTGATGGATATTGGTAGCCCATAACATAAGCTTTCAATACAGGTATGACTCAAAACTCTGTATAAGATTAAAATAATTTTAAAATGCATCTATAATGGTTGCCTATCCATTAAGTAAATATATATATTTTTAACTATGCAGTCCAGCAGTTATCGAGTCTATTAAATTATGTCGCGAATAGTGTGAATAACATTTTATTGGATAGCCCTTAAAAAAAATTATGACGTGATGTGAAAAAACGCCGAGACACGGGTATCATTTTTTTTAACTCTATTTTCAGAATCTGTAGAAATTTTTCATGGGAGGGACCAAAAATCAAATTTTGTCGTACTGTGTAATTCATATTTTCCCTATTTTAAATAAATTTGTTAAAGGTAAAACTAATTGAGGCCCCAGTATCGACTAAAAATAATGGTTCTTGATCTTTATAAAATAACTTAATAAAATTTAACCCATCTAAGCTTAAAATTATTTTTTTCCTAGTAATTATTAACCTTCGGATTCTTTGGAGTTGGAACGAAAAAAATTATTTATGGGATTTTCCGTCTCCTCACTGTCAAGATTACCACCTGCACAATAAGCTACATGGGCACTATTACTTATAACTCTAGGATTTCAATTACCGCGATTACAGCTTTGTTGCTATTAAAATTTGAGGGATAAGAATGTTGCCGATTAAAGGAACAACCTCGACTCTGACTTGTATTATTGTATGACCCACGCAAGTTACCTTGAAAATTTTCTTTCTGCATCTGGTAGACTGTTTAGATGCATATATATCCTCGCCTTAAATTTCCACGACCTCTTATCTTAAAAATGGTTTCTAAACCGCAATTAATATAACTAGGTCTCGCGCATTCTTCGTGTTTAGCTCCGCTTATCGCCTCAGTTAACTTTGAATAGTTCCTAGCTTTTACTTTTGTACGAAGTTCCGCGTTATTTATTCCGTTTGCAAAGACATTAATAGCAACCTTTTCATGCGCATTTCTTAAAACTTTTAAAACCTCATTATTACCTTCTGCCTGTGAGATAGTAAGATCTTAAAGCAACTGCTCGATGTTTTTACCAAATACCTCAATTGAAACCTTGCTTCGTATTGGCTACCGACAGTGAAGCTGCTAATTTAACTGTTATAAAATGCTTTTTGCAATCTGCAATTAATAACTTGATAGTCGTATACGTTTTTCCTAATCGCATTTTTTCATTTTGTGACAACCTAGTCTTCAAAACATAATTAATTAACAATTTTCTACCCTAATCGTTTAACATTCCATTAAGTCAATTAATTGTTTTCTAGTTTCCGTTCATAACAGGTAGCAAGTTTTTGTGTTGGTAGTGTTTTTATTAATTAAACTATTTTTATTTACACTATTTTCATGTGACGTTTTCGAATCTGTCTTAATCGCTTGCGTTTCTGCCGACCCTCTCATATCTTTAATTTATTTCATAATTCACAATTTAGTGCATAAGCATTAAAGTTAAATAGTACTATTTGCTATGAAACAGTTTATACAACGATGTAATTCGTAACTCACAATTTTAGTGTTTATTGAATAACCTTGAAAGTTCATAAAATTTAACTTTTATGTACTAAATTATAAATAAGATTGAAATGCGCATGTGCCAAAATTTGTTCACGCCAGTTTTTTAAGGTTATGAATATTACCACTTTGTTTGTTTTGGAGTATTGTTTATGGTTTTGTGTTTTGGATTGTAAGTTGACTACTTTGTTTGTTTTGGACTATTGTTGATAGTTTTTTGGTGTGAACTATTGTTTTGTGTTGTGAAAAAAATTCAACATGAGTTTTGATGAGGGGTTTTTTATTGACAATGTTGAAAATTTTTTCCTGCATTTGGGATACAAAGTTAAAGGAACATAAAGACAAAGTGTTTGTGGAAAATGCTTGGAAGACTATAGCCCTTATTATGGAAATTCCAGGTATGTTTCTTAATCCTAAATCTGAATTTTTGGAGTCAAAATTTACTTAATTTTAGTAAACGAATGTCAAGTTTAAGGGCTAAATATGTCAGGAAAAGGAAAATGATTAAAAACATGCTTTCCGGGTCTGCAGCCTACACCGGTTTTTGGGAACATTTTAAAAGGATGGGATTTTTATCAAGTCACATCCAAATTCGGAGGTAGGTGTTGTAAAAACTATAGGAATGATTTTATTTAGATAGTCATAACTACAAGTAGTTTAATGTCTTTTTTTTAGAACAAAGGGTAACATATTAAAAAAATGTCACCCTGCAGGGACTATTGCTGGGCCTTCTAGTGAGTGTGTGGAAACATTGGTGGTGGACGATTTTAGGTCGGTTTTAAATAAATCCACTGATGATGTTAAATACAATAATGAATCACAGATAGAAGATGCATCATATGAATTGACTGAAAGTGAAGATATTCCGCAGTCAACTGAGGAGTCAGACACAACTCGTCCTTCCTCAAGTCACGTAACGGTAGAGGAGGAAAATTCACTTCTCAGGAGAGAAAGAAATAAGAAGGGTTTTAAAAGGAAAAGAACTGTGCAAAACCCTGGTGTTGATGAACTGTTAGAAACTTGTGCGAACATTGGACAAAACTTGAAAAATTATATTCAAGAAAACAACAGCAATGAATCTGAAAAAGATTTTTTTTAAGTTTAACCCTTTCAATACTGCGGGGATATATACGTCCCAAAGAAAATTAAAAAATGTCTCTACTTAATTAAGTGAGTTTAAATAAAACAGGGTCGGGACAATTTAGTATTTCTATGTCTTGACTTGGGATATCAGTAATAAAAACTTAATTTATTTAACGTCACGTGAACAATAACCAGCTGTTTTTCGGCCATTGCAAGCTCTAAATTGAAAAAGACCAGTCACATAACCTATTTTGTGCAGTTTTTGTGTAAATTTTGCTTGAATTTTTGTGATACTTTATGTGCATTGTACGTCACAACTCATTCCTCAAAATATACGTTGGGACAAAAATATCCCTGCAGTAATATGACAGGGGATAGTTTTATCCCATCAGTGTTTTTTGATAATAAACATTTTCAAAAATAGTAGAATTTCTTTAGTGTGGGGATAAATATATCCCAGGGCATATTACTGCAGGGATAAATCTGTCCCAGGCCTTTTTTTCAAATACCACCAAAGTTAAAAATCTGTTATTCAGTCAATTAACTATTTTTAACCTAAATATAGTTTTAACACTAATAAAAAAGTTTTAAATTAATTTCCGAAAAGTCGTATTGAAAGGGTTAAGAGAGTCATTTTTAAAAATTAAGAGTGAGAAGAAAAAGTTACTCCTCAAAGCTAAAATATTAACAATGATAGCTGAAGAGATTGATGATGATGATGAATAGGAATTAGTTAATAAATGTTAAAATTAATTTTTTTTTTATTTATAACTATATACATAAAAAATCACTTAATATTATTTGGACAAATGAGTAATAATATCAATAACACAAAATACCCAATAATTATTTTACCAACTTCTAAAATTATTACTTAAATGCTTTTAATTAAAATATGTAATACTATGTAATAATAATATGTAGTAAATATTATACTCCAAGAGCACCTCCTCGATTGACGTAACCCTCTTGCCAAGCCACCACCCCTCTTTTGACAAAAAATAATCTGCCAATTTGTCTCTTTGGGCTTTAGCTTTGGTAGTATGATTGTTAGAGCCAACTTTACTAACTGATCTTAAACTCTGCCCTTCTTGTCTCCAAGTACCTTTCTGCAGATTACCTTTTGCATCATATGAATCGGTATAACCAGTTGGGCAATATTTTCTTTCTGAAAGGGGAAGATCCTTTTCCTTATTTTGTAAATAATTGTGCAGTACAACTGTTGCTTGGACAATTAACTCACTAACTTCCAAACTTGCATTAATGGGCCTTCGCCAAATTCTCCAACGGTGGCTCAAAATCCCAAAACAATTTTCAATACACCTTCGTGCTCTACTTATTCTATAATTAAATATATTTTTTTTGCATCCAGGTACGAGCCTGGATATGGTCTAATAATGTTTTCATGTAGAGGAAATGCAGCGTCTCCAACAAAAAAATGGCACCTTGCAGTTTGTGTTTAGAAAGTTTCTTGGAGCTGGAATTCCTTAGCATTCATTAGTGCATTTCCAAAGCTGCTTGCTTTAAATACTGCCGAATCATGATTAGAGCCCTCAGCACCAATATCAACCAATGAAAACCTGTAATAGGCATCACAAGTTGCCATAAGTATAATGCTAAAGGATTTCTTATAGTTAAAAAAAAACACTTCCACCAGAATTCTTTGGAGCCATAATATTTATGTGTTTGCCATCCAATGCACCGAAACAATTAGGAAGATTCCATCTTTGAAAAAATCCAGATGCTATATCCTCAAATTCTCTCTTTGAGGGTTCTGGTAACTCTGTTGGACTCAGCTTTTCCCACAGGACTTTGCAAACTTCCTTAATTATAACATGCACTGTAGCCTTCCCAATGCGGTGGTTAAAAGCTATTTCTTGCATGGAGCATCCCTCTGAGAGATAGCTAGAAACAAAAATATGTCTATAATCTTGCAATGAGAAAAATATGTACTTTTTGTGACTTTTCTTTTTGTCTTTTTGGATGGTCGTTTTAATTATTTCAAGTAAATGATTAAACTGATTTACTGTCATTCGAGTATATTTAAAAAACTGAGGTTTATCACACATAATCATATCTTTTACCAAAGTACCAAATACACCCTCCTTTATTCTGTTTCTATTAATTGGTCTAACTTTTAAACCTTGGTTTTGCAATTACAGCTGCTGTAGTTGCAGACAAAAAGAGGTAGGAAAGAATTAAGATTTGCATTTTCTTATTAATTGTCTTTATTTTGTAAACTTTAATCGATAAAATAAAATAAGCACAGAAACCGAAAGATAGGTTAAAATCAGGGAAATTGATTGTGTCAGTTGGCAATTTTGGCATTTAAAAAACTAAAATATTCACTAAATTAATGAATTGTATAAACCAAATTTAAAAGTTATGTACTAATCTAATATTTATGCATTAAATTAAGAATTGAGTTATGAATTAAATTGTGCACTAAATTATCAATTGTTGTATAAACCCGGCTTTACTTAACTTACGGTTAGTGACATTTATGTCTAATTTTCTTTTACTATTGTCTTTTAATAAATTTCTATAAAATACTTCCAGTGGCGTAACTACCAGGGGTCTTAGGGGTCAGATTGTCCGGGGCCCCGAGCATCAGGGGGCCTCCGAAAGTGGTAAACAAAAAAATGTTTTGTATATAATTAATTATATGAAAAAATTCGTTGTGTATAATTATATAAAAAAAAAATTTTCATATGAAAATATCAAATCTTTTGGTCATTTCTATATTCGTAACCTGGATCATATTATTTGTCTCTTGTATTCTTAATTTTTAATTTTCGCGCCATAGCGGATGCGCATGTTTCATTATGGCCAACCTTCCTTTTCTCGCTCAAGGTTTTGAAAGTTTCTCGCACTGAATTTCAAGTGACAATATTGAATCAAAACAAACTTTTCGAAAACAATCTTGATTGCTCGATTTCTGTGGTATGTCTGAATAAAGTTTGAAGGAGTTTGAGTTGAAACGTGAATTGTTTTTTGAGGCGCTTATTTCATGGTTGATTCTGGAGTAAATCATTCATCTGGTAAGTGACTGTCGTGGCTGTAACCTTAACATATATGTATATCATGAAAATAATACGTCATTTCATGGTTATGTTGTGACCTTCACGTCATTTAGTTTTATTTGCGAATGAAAATTTTTGCGTAACGTTGAATATAGGTTTTAATATTTAATTACTCCGAGAAAATTGAAAAGTATAAATTATATCAATATAATACTGAAATCTATGAACAAATATAACATATTAGTGCACTGTGACGCTATATAATATGAAAAAAGAAATTACCTTCGGAACCCATATCTGATGAAAAATTATCCTATTACAGATAAAATAATCAAACATGAGCTCGAATAAACGCGTTCATCCAAGTGGTGCTCAAAAAAGGAAAATAAAATTGGAGTCAGAAGCAGCTGTGAAAAAGTTGAAACCCATAACGTCATTTTTCACGCCACAACACCAGGAACAGAAAAAACAAAAATCTGAAGATGAAGGCCAAAGGGAGAGTTATTCTTCTAGTAGCGATATGCAGCAAAAAGAAACAGAAGCAGATATGATCGTTACACCACCGAACACTGACAGTAACGTTTCCATCGCTACAGACGATTCAAAAAAGGAAGAAATGGCAGCTCCTGTGCTAAACCCTACTATGGAACATATTAATTTGCTAGAAAAAAGACATCCTGCTGATAAAGGACATAACAAGAGCGTTTTAACTGCAGAATTAAAAAGATTCATAATTTCGCATGGACCGTGCCAACCGATGGGACCTTTTCCACGAGATGAAGAAACGGGGAATCGATTTTCTTCGTTTTTTTATGAATCAAAAAATAAAGCAGGATTGAAAATTCCACGAACATGGTAACTAAGCAAATTACTTACTCATTGTTTCATATGACACGATTTAAAAAAAAGAATATGCAAGTTATAAACCAGCTTGGGTAGATGGATTTCGTAACTGGGCAAAATTAAGTAGCAAAATTTCTCATCACGAAAAGTCAACCATTCATTACAACGCTTGCATGGTATACGAATCGTGGCGATTGAATAAATCTCTCATCGATAAGGACCTTGAAAAACAAACTCTCCGAGAAAAATCTTTCTGGTGCAAAGTTCTCGACAGAATTATGAATATAATTCTTACCCTGGCTACATGCAACCTTCCATTTCGAGGACATCGGAAGGTCATTGGTGATTCTGGAAATAATGGAAACTTTTTGTCAATTGTAGAATTGCTGGCGGTATATGACCCTGTTTTGAAAGAACTCATTACAAAACCAGAGAATTCCATTGGATACTTGAGCCCTCAAATCCAAAATGAGATCATCGGCCTGCTATCTAAGACTGTGGAAAATGAAATCGTCAAGAATATTCAAGAAGCGCCATTCTTTTCCATCATAACCGATACAACTCAAGATATAGCTAAAATTGACCAAATGAGTCAAATTTTCAGATACGTGCAAATTAACGGGAAACCAGTTGATGTCAAAATCACCGAATCTTTCTTAGGATTCGAAAAAGTCGATGATCAAACGGCTAATGGACTGGAATCAAAAATTGTTGATGGACTGGAAAAAAGGGAAATCAAACTTTCAAAATGTCGGGGACAAGGATACGATGGAGCTGCTACAATGAGTGGAATTTACTACGGGGTTCAGAAGAAAATTCTTGATAGAGAAGAAAAAGCCATTTACGTTCATTGCGCAGAGCATAGACTCAATCTCGTTCTCAATGATGCCTCGACGGGTGCAATACCTGAAGTCCAAAGATTCTGGGAGTTAATTGAGCAAATTTACGTTTTTTTTTGCAAACAGTATCAAAAGACGGGAGTTATTATCGGCTTTCCTTTCTAAAAATTCTCTGTTGAAACTCAAACGACTCTGTCCAACTCGATGGTCATCTCGGAACGATTCTTT